TAAATATATGACAACTATAATTCATTATACTTAAAAATAGATAAAATATTATATCATACACTGGTAAGAGCACCAAGATTTCTATAAACCAAAAAATTACATTTTGAGGTGGAATTGAGTATTTTCAGTTAAATTTATAATTATATCCAAACATTTATCGTAATTTTTCCTTAACATAATTGTCTCAATGAATCATATTCACACTTGAATATACAGTTTTAAAATGTTTCTGATCAAGGCAGAGGGTAAAAACAAGAATTAAATTTTTGCAATCATAATCACCTTTGCAAGCATTCATTTGGGAAGAGTAGACTTAATACCTGCTATAACTCATAAATCTATAATATTTTTGAGCTATTTTCTATCATATTTACACAAATGAATGCCATATGAATCTTAAGGTTTGAACTGCATGCAAAGTCATTAATGATATCAAAGGACCAGATGCTCTAAGTTTATAAATCATCAAAAGTTGACATCCATTTATGCTATACAGATTTTGTATTACTGTATGATTTTTCTACATATCGGACATACCATTTTGGTGTGTCTATACATTAAATCGTATCATAAAACCAACCTAGGAGAAATCTTGAGGGCTTTATGCTAAGTGAAATAAATCAGACAAAGAAAAACAAATGCAATAAAATATCACTTATATTGGGAATCTAAAACCAAAACAAAACAAAAAAAGTGAGCTCATTGATACAGAGAACATTTTGGTGGTTAAAAGAGGTGGGGAGTAGGATGTAGGCATAATGGATGAAGGGGGTCAAAGGGACAAACTTTGTTTTAAGATAAGTAAGTCTTAGGGATCTAAGAATGGTGACTATCATAACCTATATAATAAAAGGGTAATATGCAAATTTACCCTCACGGCAGAAAGACCAGGAATGACTGGTCATTATGACACGCACTGACCACCAGGGAGCAGATGCTCAATGCAGGAGCAGCCCCTTGGAGTCAGTGCACTTCCACAGGGGGAGCATCGCTCGGCCAGAAGCCAGCTCATGGCTGGCCAGCGCAGCAGCGAAGGTGGAGAGCAGGCCTAAGCCATTAGTCAGATATCCCCTGAGGGCTCCTGGGCTGCCAGAGGGATAGCTGACTGCCAGCTTAGGTCCGATCCCCTGGGGATCGGGCCTAAGCCGGCAGGTGGACATCCCCTGATGGGTCCTGGACTGCGAGAGTGTGCAGGCCGGGCTGATGGATTCCCTCAAGTGCACAAATTTTCGTGCACCAGATCTTTAGTATATATATAAAAGCCTAAGCGACCATTCAATCAGTAGCTATGATGTGCACTGACCACCAGGGAGCAGATGCTCAACGCACAGGCATGGAAACATGGAACAGACTGATGAATCTCAGAGGAAAGGGAGAAGGGTGCGAAGAGTTTAAACAAAGATCTTATATGCATACTAGAGGACTGATGCACAAATCCGGTGGTCCCTCGGCCAGGCCTATAGGGATTGGGCTGAAACTGGCCCAGTGCATGGATTCGTGCACTGGAGGGGTCCCTTGGCCTGGCCTGTGGGGATCGGGCTGAAATCAGCAGTCCAACATCCCCTGAGGGGTCCCAGATGGTCCATCAGCCAGGTCTGCAGGGATCGGGCTGAAACTGGCCTGGTGCATGGATTCGTGAACTGGCGGGGTCCCTTGCCTGTAGGGATCGGGCCGAAACCAGCAGTCCGACATCCCCCAAGGGCTCCCGGACTGCGACAGGGCGCAGGCTGGGCTGAGGGACACCACCCACCGAGTGCACAAATTTCGTGCACCTGGCCTCTAGTCCTATATAGTAAAAGCCTAATATGCTAAGTGTCTGATTGCCTGGTTGGTCATTCAACAAATCAAAGCATAATATGCTAATAATATGCTAAGGCCACTCAACCGCTCTCTATGACGTGCACTGACCACCAGGGAGCAGTCAGTCAATCGGTCGACCAGTTGCTATGACATGCATGACCACCAGGGGGCAGACGCTCTGACTGGTAGGTTAGCTTGCTGCTGGGGTCTGGCTGATTGGGACTGAGTGAGACAGGCAGGACACACCCTGGAGCCTCCCACAGTCCCTCCCTGGCTGGCCAACCTCCCATGTCCTTCCCTGGTCACAATCGTGCACCAGTGGGGTCCCTCGGCCTGGCCTGCACCCTCTCACAATTCAAGCTAAGGGATTCCCTCCCTCCCCGAGTGCACAAACTTCGTGCACTGGGCCTCCAGTATGTAAATATCTTGGGTAGAAATTTTCCATTTTAGAAGCAGTATACCACTTTGATTAAGACCACAGGCTTTGCCTCTAAACTAGATAGGTTCAAATTGCAGTTCTGCTGTGAAATAGTTAAGCAAACTTTTTAACATCTCTGTGCCTCAGTTTCGTCTAAGACAGTGGTCGGCAAACCGCAGCTCACAAGCGGCTCTTTGGCCCCTTGAGTGTGGCTCTTCCACAAAATACCACGTAAGGGCACGCACGTACAGTACAATTGAAACTTTGTGGCCCATGTGCAGAAGTTGGTTTTCGGCCTGGGCGAGTCTATTTTGAAGAAGTGGTTCGGAAGTGGGGGGTGTCGGTCGGTTGGGCGACCAGAGACACAGCGCAGGCAGGCCGCGGGATACGCAGCACGGGGGAGGCGTGCAGAATCCATGCATGAGTTGAGTGAGCCAGTCAGCAGTCTCATTGTGCAGTGGTTAGTGCTAGTTGCGTCCGCAAATCGCGCGTGGGTGACAAAAGTACCTACTCGAAGCATAAAGTTACCTGTATTTTTCCAACCAGCCACAAATCCTACAGGTTTTTTTGTCATCAATTTAAGAATTATAATTATTTTGTGTTGGTGGCTTTATTATTATAAAATGAAACTTATCTGCTTAGAGGGGTTTAAATGCCTAACCTTGCTAAATAACTTCTCTCGCTTACTATTTATTTCCTTCCTTAGCACTCATGACAACTGCAATTATTTGATGTGACTATTTATTTATTTAAAGTTGATCTTCCTCACTAGAATGTAAATTCCAGAAGGAAGTCATGTTATCTCCAGCCTTAGACACATAATAGGCATTCCATAAATATATTAGTGTATTGAACTCATGTTGTTAATACTAAGTACTCAATCCAAAATTACTAATTACGTTAATAACAATGTACCTATCTATATAGTTTAAGTTTAAAAAATTTGGCTCTCAAAAGAAATTTCAATCGTTGTACTGTTGATATTTGGCTCTGTTGACTAATGAGTTTGCCGACCACTGGTCTAAGATAATAATAATACTTAACTTCATAGAACTTGGAAAAAGTTAAAACAAGCTAATATATGTAAAGTACTTGGAAGTGGGACTGGCCCATTCAAAGCACTCACTACATTAACTATTCTTGAGACTTAAAAACCTACTGATAATCCATGGGTAGAAAGAAAGCAAAACAAATTACAAATTATATCAGTGTTCTAAATATAAGAACGGAAACCCAAAGTTGTAGGATACAATGAAAGTTATACTAAAGAAATATTGCAGTCTCCTTTCCCTTTATTATGAAGAAGAAATACAAACCTTAACAAAGGAATTTAGTACTCTTAGTACAAATCTTAAAAATCAGAAAAAATAAGCTAAAAAGGGCAAAGTAAACTGATCAAGATACAAGCTCAAATGAATGAAATGAGAATAAAGTATAACAGCTATTAAAACAATCTAAAGTCTAATACCTTTTAAAGTGCAATAAAATAGATAAACCTCTTTTGAGTCTGTTCATGGGGAAAAATATGTATATGTCGTTTTACATATGATTAGAAGGAAGAAAGGAATATTTTTAAGTTAAAATAAGTAATAAAGAATACATAAAGAGCCCTAGCCAGTTTGGCTCCAATGGATAGAGCATTGGCCTGCAGACCGATGGGTCCTGGGTTTGATTCCGGTCAAAGGCACGTACCTCTGCTGCAGGTTTCTCCCCAGCTCAGGCCCTGGTCGGGGCTTATGTGGGAGGCAACCAATCGATGTGTTTCTCTCACATCAATATTTCTCTCTTCCACTCTCTCTAAAATCAATGGTAAAATATCCTTGGCTAAGTATTTTTTTTTTAAATCATGATAAGCAAATATTAACATAAAAAAATAAAATAAAGAATACATAAAGGCATATGGCAACCAATTTAACTCAAGGGAAAGAAATAATTCCCTAGAAAAGATAAAAGTTATTAAAAACTGAACCAACCAGAATTAGAAAGCTTGAATAATACCTATAAAGAGTATGAAACAATTTAAAAACAGGACAAGGTTTTGTCAATGAGTTCTATCTAATTTTTACGGGGCAAGGAATTCTAATATTATTTAAACTATCCAAGGCCACAGAAAAATACTAAAATCTCTTCTATTTATTTGGTGAAGTTAATATCATCTTAGTATACCTGACAATGAAAGTACAAAAAAACATATAAATAATAATTCAATGTCATAAAATAAAACATAAGCTTCAGCAATATATAAAAAGGACTACATAATATGACCAAGTAGAGTTCATTCCTGGAACACAAGAATGGTTCAATAGTAGGATATGTATCATCATCATTAATTACATCAACAAACTGAAGGATAAATCATATGCTTATAATAAAGAATACAAAGAAGTATTTCATAAAAATTCAGTCAATTCTAATAAGAACACAGTAACTTAGTTACCAAATAAAAGTATTTAAACATAATAATTCTCAATAAAAACATTAATACAAATAGAAATTATCCTTAGATATCTCTAATTAAATGTCTGAGAAACTCTTCATATAGCAAAACGCCTGAACTATGATGAAGTTAGGCAGTGGGAACTGAGAAAGGAGGACAAATTTGAAAGTTTCTACACAAATATCTCAAACCTACACCCCTCCAACACAAACACACACACACAGAAGCATGCACATATTTATGTACACATTCACCTATACAAATACCATAAAATGTATATGTATCCCCTTACAAACAACATATATAACATGCATAATAATACATTTGTCTTTAATATATGTTTACCTGTTTGGGCAGTCGGAACAAGGAATTCTTATAGAAAATGTCCTTAGCCTGGCTCCATGTACCATCGATGATGATGATTGTGGAAGGATAAATAGGAGAATCTAATATAAACTCTTCCAAATTAGCAGCTTCAGCCCCTGGATATAATATTAATGTACCAGACTTCCGACAAACAGTTGAAAGTTCAGGATCTCTAAAAGAATTTTTAAAAAAATCTTTATTACCTGGTGGGGTAACAAAAAGTTTTATTATTCTTACTGAACTTCATTCCAAAATATATATCAAAGCATTTTGGGACTGGAGATGCACAGTAAGACAGCCTCTGTCTACTCTACAGGAAACAAAACAAGCTTGAGGGGAAAGGAGACAAATTAAAGAGTCAATTAAAGACAACAAATGGCATCTTCTTCAATCCAGTAAAAGGCATCTATAAAAATGTATGGCCAATTTCATATGTTCTTTAACAATGTTCTTTGAGACTGGGATCAAGGTAAAGATGTTGGTTTTCACCACTCCTAATACACGCTGTATTGAAGGTCCCAATTATTGCAATAAGGCAAGAAAAAAAAGGGCATAAAATTTGAAAAAAGTATAAATGACCCTATTTGCATATGCTAATGATACTTACACAGAAAGTCCTAGAGAATCTACAAAACAATTTCTACAACTAACAAATGAACTTACAAAGTCACTGGATATAGGGTTGATACGTAAAACCCAATTGTTTAAAAAAACACATGAAAGAAACCCCAAAAGTTTTCTTATACAATAGAGGCAAAAAGTTAAAAATAAGCATTTTTAATGTCCATTTATAAAGGATACCAAAAGTAATGCCTCATAATCATTCCCCTATGCTTATATCACATACTCTAGGAAAAGTTTGTTAATATTACCAGATTAATATTAAGTCAATAATCTCAATGAGCTTTAGTTTAAAATCCATCAGTGAATAATAATTTACTGAGTAAGCACTATATTAGATACCATGGAAAAAAACTGAACTACTTTCTATAATGTGCTCAAAATGGGATAAGCTATTTGTAAAAATGTCAAGCTTCTCATCCCAAGCACATTCTAGAGGAGTTACATAGCCAAAATGTCAGAGATGGCCCAAGTAGTTTCCATTTCAATACCATAGGTGCTCATCACTTTTGCAATACAATAACCTAGATCCAAGCTGAGAGATTAAGTAGGACCCTATTCCACCCATATAGCCACATCCACCCAAGAATTATAGAGGAACTATCATAAAGAGCCTCTTTATGAAAGAAGCGTCACAGTGTAAATGATGTTGCTGCTCCCCATGTGATAAGCTCTGGATCTTGCTTCCATTCCCAACAAAATGGCAAAATTCCCAATAGCAGCACCAAGCCCAGAGCAAATTTCTCCTTTGTGGGCAAGGCTATGCAAAAACTACAATAGAAAATTCTATATGAGAAGAGTGTGCCTAACCAACAGTTTCAGAGAAAAGAAAAATATCATTATATAAAGTTCTAATATGATGTTATTTTCATTATATGAAGCTAAATTATAAAGGAAGCTAAAGTAATAAAGTAAGGAAAAAGCTTGGTCAATTCACTGGGCTTCATGCTAGTACAAGTCTTACTTAACAGTTTTCTAAGTTAACTGAAAACGAAATCTCCATACTTTCATGAGTAATTAAATTTTGCATCAAAAGATTTATTTAATTGTGCAGACAGGATCAAAGTAATTTGTGAAGGCTTTGTGAATGGGCAGAAAAGCAACACAGATGATTCAAAGGTATAAAAAGACTTGTAGAAAATTTAAATATATATAGTATATAACATATATTTATGATAATGGTTTATGTAATACAATGTAAAATAAGATCCAAGAACATTATAGATCTGTCAATAAGATATCAACTAATGGTAACTGCACATAAAAATAGTGGGCCTCATCAAAAAGGACATTTCTTAAAATACATTTTTTATTGATTTCAGAGAGGAAGGGAGAGGGATAAAGAGATAGAAACATCAATGAGAGAGAAACATGATGAATCAGCTATCTCCTGCACATCACCTACTGGGGACCAAGCCCTCAACCCAGGCATGTGCCCTGACCAGGAATTGAACCACGATATCCTGATTCTTAGGTCGATGCTCAATCACTGAGCGACACCTGCCAAGCAAAAAAGAATAGTTTAAATATGACAGGAGATTGTGTTTTATACTTAAGAAAATAGATGATGTGCCTATAACTAGGATACTAAATATAGTTCTAATCACTGTATATTAGAAAAGCCTTAATGAGCTAGAAATGGATAGATACGTGTTTACTTATATAAATGTATCTCATATATAATGTAAAAAAATAAAAATATGAAACTAAATACAAGTACCTTACCATCTAAACAAAAATGAAATAGACAGTAATTTATGTCTTTTAGGCCCAATATATATTAGTATGCAATTTAGATAATGCTGTCATTCCTTTGTTTATTCCACTTGGTCTGTTTTGGAAAAATGTTTTTGTTTATGTTTTGCTTTATCTTGTATTATTTTGAGAGAAAAGGCAGAACTTAACTTTGTTTTACTGCTTCCAATGTACCACATTTTAGGTCAGTGATGGCGAACCTTTTGAGCTCAGCATGTCAGCATTTTGAAAAACCCTAACTTACCTCTAGTGCCGTGTCACATATAGAAATTTTTTGATATTTGCAACCATAGTAAAACAAAGATTCATATTTTTGATATTTATTTTATATATTTAAATGCCATTTAACAAAGAAAAATCAACCAAAAAAATGAGTTCGCGTGTCAGGTTCGCCATCACTCTTCTAGGTATAAAGGGTAAGTTTAAAGAAATCATTTTTAAAGATCTATGGAGACAAATCATTTTAAGTTGCCCTAAAAGTTAATTTACCTTTCTTCACTAAAACGACGACCGATCTTGACTTTACACTTGTCCTGGGGAAGGCATGCTGCTAGTAGAGGAACTGTCCGCAACACTTTGCTTTCCTTTAATTAAAAAATTAAGCTGTAGATTTTTATTTAGACAAACACACTTTTAAAACTTTATAATGAACATTTGATTCATAACATTATACAGAATTTTCACAAGTCTTTTACTGCAGACCACAGTTTAATAAAAAGAACTATCATTTCTCTGATTTATCAGTAGTAAATATACTACAAGTATACATTTTTATTCTACTTGGGTATATTTAAAGGTTTATTGATCAAAACAAGATAATATTAAATCATAGTTAAAATTATGAAAAATATAAATTTGTTTTTAACTAAATTGAATCATTTATTCTGAAAAACTTTTTATTCCATTAGTAATTACCTGAAGATAATTGCCTAGATCTTTATGCTCAGAAAGCAAGGAAGATTTCAAAAAACAAAATGATGGAGCATATCAATGACACATAGAAGCCAATCTTAAGAGCTCCCAATGGCCCAAAATAGAATAATATGAGCAACAAAATTAAGTTAACATATTATTTGAATTATAACCCAAAGTATAAAATAAGAGTCCAGACTGTTATAAACAAATAAATGGGAGAAAAGAGACAGGAGAATTCCAAGTAATAAATGTTGCCACTGCAGGAGGTAGAGCTTAATTTCTCACTCCCACTTGAGTATGGGCTGAATTTATGACCTTACTTCCAAAGAATAAAGAGTATAGAAATGGAAGAAAAATATCTTTTAAAGTGAAAAAATCTGGTGACCATATTTGTAAATCCCGTTAACTATCAAAAGTGGTTTGTTTTTTTAATGTCCTAACATCTAACACTAAAAATCTTTCTTTTTTTTTTAAATATACTTTTTATTGATTAAGATATTACATATGTGTCCTTATCCCCACGGTACCCCCTACCCCTCCCCCCCCCCATTGTCCGTGTCCATTGGTTAGGCCTATATGCTTGCATATAAGTCCTTTGGTTGATCTTTCCCCCTTATCCCCACCCTCCCTTACCTTCCCTCCAAGGCCCGACAGTCCAATCAATGCCTCTCTGTCTCTGGATCAGTCCTTGTTCATCAGTTTATGTTGTTCATTGTATTCCACAAATGAGTGAGATCATGTGGTATTTATCCGCTCTCCAGTTCCATCCATGCTGTGGCAAATGGTAAGAGTTCCTTTTTCTTCTTCCTCTTCTTAAAGAATACCTTTCAGCATTTCATATAATGCTGGTTTGGTGGTGATGAACTCCTTTAGCTTTTTCTTATCTGTGACGCTCTTTATCTGACCTTCTATTCTGAATGATAGCTTTGCTGGATAAAGTAATCTTGGTTGTAGGTTCTTGCTATTCATCACTTTGAATATTTCTTGCCACTCTCTTCTGGCCTGCATGGTTTCTGTAGAGAAATCAGCTGACAGTCATATGGGTATTCCCTTGTAGGTAACTGACTTTCTTTCTCTTGCTGCTTTTAAGATTCTGTCTTTTGCTCTTGGCATTTTAACTATGATGTGTCTTGGTGTGGTCCTCTTTGGGTTCCTTTTGTTTGGGGTTCTCTGCGCTTCCTGGACTTGTAAGTCTATTTCTTTCACCAGGTAGGAGAAGTTTTCTGTCATTATTTCTTCAAATAGGTTTTCAATATCTTGCCCTCTCTCTTCTTCTGGTATCCCTATAATTCTGATGTTGGTACACTTGAAGTTGTCCCAGAGGCTCCTTACACTATCTTCATATTTTTGGAATCTTTTTTCTTTTTTCTTTTTCGGTTGGGTATTTTTTGTTTCTTTGTATTTCAAATCTTTGACTTGATTCTTGGGATCCTCTTGTCTGCTGTTGGATTTCCGTATATTATTCTTTATTTCAGTCAGTGTATGCTTAATTTCTAGTTGGTCCTTTTTCATATCCTCGAGGGTCTCACAAGATTTCTTGAGGGTCTCACTAAATTTATCGGCGGTTTCCATAAAATTCTTGAAAAACCTTATAAACGTGGTTTTGAACTCTATATCCAGTCGTTTGCTTTCCTCCATTTCTGCCATTTGTGACCTGTTTCTTTGTCTCTGCATTTTTTTATGCTTCCCTGTGTTGGTAGAGTGGTTTTGTGTGCTAGGTGTCCTATAGGGCCTAGTAGCTCAGCCTCCCCTGTTACCTGAGGTGGACACTCTTGGTGCACCCCCTTGTGGGCTTTGTGCACAGTCTTATTGTAATTATGCCTTGATTGTTGTAAGATCACTGGGAGAAATTGACCTCCAGGCCAACTGGCAGTGAGAATCGGCTGTGTCTGCAGTGGGAGAACTTCTGTGCTGAAGACACCCTTCTGAGGCAAGACTTGCTTCAGTGGGGCTTTGTTGCTCACTGAGTCTGCCCCCTGGGTGTGTCCCTTATGGATCTGAGGAGTTGTAATCCGGATGGTCCACCTCTGACCACTGGGTACACTGGTTCTTGGAGGTTACCCAGCAGGAGCTATGAAGAGAACTGCAGATTCCCCGTCCTTTTTTGGAGTTTGAAGGTGCCCTGATGAGGCCCAGCTGTGAAGCAATGCAAGCTGCTGTGGGGCCTTGGGCCTTCTCTTGGAAGTTCTGGGTCTGTGGCCCAGCTGCAGTTTGTTAGGTAATTTTCAGGTTGCAAAGGGCCAGGGCATTCATATGCAAAAGCCTCTGCCGCAGCTTGGGTGGGGCGGGGTCTCAGGGAATCAAAGGGCGGAGCAAGGAACTATGGCGGATTCTCAGCCCTGCCCTAAGGGGCCGCGCGCGTCTCAGTGTCCTGATAATTTAATTGCTGCAAGCACCTCTGAGGGAAAGCCGCCCTCGAGTTCCGAGTTCTGCCCGCTGCCAGACAGTCCAGTTTCTCCCCGTATGAGTCCTGGGTCCCCAGAGACTTCCCGGAACCGGAGTTCAGAGCAGTCGGGAGCTTGTGACTCCCTCCCGATTCAAAAAGACAGCCGCATCCTCAGGTACCAGCCCCTTTCCGCGCACTCTCGAGCCTCCGTACCTTTGCACTTTACTTCTTCAGCTCCTGACCTCAATGTGCTTTTCTCTTTCCTTCTAGCTGTAGAATTTCCACTCTGCCAGCCCTCCTGTAAGTTCTGGATGATGTCCGTTCTGTCCTTTTATTGTGTTTTGAAGTTGTTGTAGGAGGCAGCAATTTCAGTGTTTCCCTATGCCGCCATCTTAGTTTCTTAAAAATCTTTCTTGTTGGCGCAGGAATTCTATCCTTAATCCCAGCAGAGCAAGGTGATTAGCTATTCTGCATTAGCCTGCACTTATCTTGGTGATTTTGGTCTATAGTGCTCAGCCATTCTCTGGCTCCTCAGGTCCAACTGGGAATGTCATGCTTGATCGCATGTATAACAGAGCCCCTCTCTCATCAGTGTACCTACATACAACCCAATATTATCTTTTTCAATTTATATAATCCTGCTTGTATAGATCCTTGCAGTGAATAATTTGGTTATTTTTGTGTATGTGAAATAATGAAATATTATTTACTTTACTTTGGGAATATCATTTACCTAGCAAATTACTACACAAAACAGTAATGTAACACAAATAGAAAGTATTGTATTTCCCCTCACTCCCACTGGAGCTATGCTGGACCAGAGCTGCGGACACAGGCCTCTCTTCCACAGAATGGGGTTTGTTAACGTTGTCAAAAATAAGGCCTACTTCAAGAAATACCAAGTGAGATTTACAAGATGATGAGAGAGTAAAACTGATTCCTGGAAATGCTCAGTAATCTAGAATAAAAATAAATACAACACACCCAAATACAGGATGACAGTTTGTGTAACAAACAGACACATCATTTGTCAGACTGCTTATGCCCATCTGAAAGGAGATATGATAGTTGTGTAGCTTTTGCTCATAAACTCCCAAAGTATGAGGTGCAGGTTGGCCTGACAAATTATGCTGCAGCACATTGTACAGGCCTGCTGCTGGCCCACAGGCTTCCCATAGGTTTCGCCAGGACAGTATCTGTGAGAGCCAAATGTAGGTGTCAGAGACAAATACAATGTGGAAAGCATTGATGGTAAACCTGGTGCCTTCACATGCCATTTGAGTGCAGAGCTTGCCAGAACTACTACAAGAAATAAAGTTTTTGGGTCCCTAAAGGGAGCTGTGGAAAGAGACTCGTCTAATCCTTACAGTTCCAAATGAGTCCCTGGTTATGATTCAGAAAGCAAGGAATTCAATGCAGAAGTACATCAGAAGCACATCATGGGTCAGAACATCCTATCTAATAAAGAGGAAATATGCTAATTGACCCTCACACCATCACAAAGATGGCTGCGCCCACAGCCAATAAGGAGGGAATGTGCTAATTGACTGCCCCACCCTCAAAGATGGCGGCACTCACAGCCAATAAGGAGGGAATATGCTAATTGACTGTCACACCCTCAAAGATGGTGACGCCCACAGCCACAAGATGGCTGGCAGGGGAGGACAGTTGTGGGCAATCAGGCCAGCAGGGGAGGATAGTTACGGGCAACCAGGCCAGCAGGGGAGGGCAGTTAGGGGTGACTGAGCCGGCAGGAGAGGGCAGTTGGGACGACCAGGCCGGCAGGGGCAGTTGGGAACAATTGGGCTGGCAGGGGAGGGAGGGCAGTTGTGAGGGACCAGGCCTGCAGGGGCAGGAGGGCAGTTAGGAGCAACCAGGCCGGCAGGGGAGGGCAGTTAGGGGTGACCAGGCTGGCAGGGGAGGGCAATTGGGGGCAACCTGGCCAGTAGGGGAGGACTGTTGGGGGCGACCAGGCCAGCAGGGGAGGGCAGCTGGAGGCAATCGGGCTGGCAGGGGAGCAGTTAGGCATTGATCGGGCTGGCAGGGGAGTGGTTAGGGGGTGATCAGACTGGCAGGCAGAAGCAGTTAGGGGCAATCAGGTAGGCAGGCAGGCAAGCGGTTGGGAGCCAGCAGTCCCAGATTGTGAGAGGGATGTCCGACTGGCAGTCGGACATCCCCGAGGGGTCCCAGATTGGAGAGGGTGCAGGCTGGGCTGAGACCCCCCCGCCCCCGCGGTGCACACATTTCATGCACTGGGCCTCTAGTTTTGGAATATCTGCATTA